GTTCTTTCCACTGAATGCAACTCGTCGGCTTCCGCATTAACGACGTCTACTTCCTTCGCCCAGAAGACACTGCGAATGGCTCTCCTCGATGTTATGAGGGCGCGATACTCTTCGGAGTGTCTCCGTCGGCGGTTCATTGTCAGCTCTATTGCTGAAGTGAAAGATGTGCCGCAGAGAGGGCAATCATTAGGCGCTGGCTCGTCGACACGACAGTGGTCTGGGGGGAAGTCCTGTGTGATATCCCATGTAGCGACCCAATTTCTCCGCAGAGGTATAGGAAGCACGGCAGAGTATACAGGTTTGCAGAGTGGATGTGGCAGTAGTTAGAGTGGAGATAGCGGGGAGTTGGGCGGGTGGAGATAGTTCTGTGTAAAATCCATGTCAAATGTCGTTGACGGAGAGACGACTGACCATAAAACTCGGGTCTGACAATATAGATAAAGCAATGCTAATAAATATAAGTACAAATAAGCATTCCCTGGCAAAAGTCGTATAATGTTTTAAAAGATAGAAACTCTGGAGTCGGGCCAACATACAGTATAACAGTAGCAATGGTGTGCAGGTAAAAATAAAAAAAATTAAAGCCACTAATGAACAAGCACATCGAAGCCATAAATTTAACAAACATACTAGGTGTAAAAAAGTGTTAACCGCTAAAGCCAATAGAAAATCACTTTAAATAATTGTAATAAAGCAAAAGTCCCCACTGGGTGTTAATACCAAAGAGTCAGTAACCTCCGTTATAATGAAGTTACGGGTCAGAATCTTGTGATATTATCACAGTGAAACAATGAAACAGAATCCTGACCAGAGAAAAGGGGGAAACTAGTTGTCAGAGGCCAAAAATATAAGTTAGTAATACGTCATACAACTATCAACCAACTAGCCATATTGGAAGGTGTTAACCTACCATCACGAAAAATTACCAAATTCAGTGCAAAGCAGCTAAGCATGAGGAAAACTCCATAATTTATAACCAACTGTCCCAATTACTAGCAGTTAATGGCTATTCGATGCATCATCGAAACTTTTGCCTTCGACCCAATTGTCTGACCCACAAGGCAATGGGAAGCACACCCAGCTCGGTATTGTAACTGCAGATTCCTGTTATGATTTATATAGGGCCTACTACACACAACTTTAGAAGTGTAAGCGTAAGTCTCAAATACTTTTCGCTTGTAGTAGCTTGCGCACCTCCCACCATTGAGCAAGGGGGACTCTCACGCACCGAAGATCAATCCATAGCGCCAATGTCCGACATCAGTGAATCTGGGTTTGGTCCGTTGATCGTTGCTTCCCATGGATAAATTTTGGAAGGATGAGAGGCGTCGACCTCTCATCAATCTCCTATGGGGGGATGGTGTGACTGAGTTCGTCAGTCCCAAACCACCAATTTGTTTAACGTGAGTGGCCTCAAAGGAATTTGGAGAGTTCCACCCAACGTACTCCACTAAGTCACATGGGAACACAAACCATCGCATCATCTTAAGGTGCCACAAAGCTCCCTAGCGTGAGTTGCGAGAGCACGCTCGATGGGAGACTGACAAATGTGGGATCTCTAGAACAAAAGACCATCTGGTGAGCAATTGCTTTCAATGATTCATCATCAGACCATTACAATCATATAAAGGCTAGAGTGAGAAATCGACCCAGTTAGTTCAAAATGACTTGATCACGGGAAGGTCAATGTCAGAGTGGAGAAAACGGATTAGATCTTAGAGGTCTAGCTGTTTGCTACCGCGTCTGACCGAAGGCAATCGACCTGGGCGTCTTCCATCTTCGCTGGCCAGGGAAACTGGAGAGCCTGGACCAGCTTCTTCTGTGAGCATAAGGACGGCTGGAACAATCGAATGCATATTGCTTCAGCTGTCGCAAGCGTACGCAGGCGATAACCTTTCGTTCGGTGCGGCGGAACCTTGTAAACTATTCAGAAAGCCGTTGCTCAGTGGCTCGTAGAACTTCTTGAACCTGTGCGACGACAGCTCGCTACCTACAGCCTTCGTGACAGCTTCCATTTCGTCGAAAGCATCAAGGATGATAACATCAATGTGAAATTAGTGTTATCTTTCGATGTCATCTCACTTTTTACCAACGTCCCACTGGTTGAGACGATCGATTACATTTGCGACTATATAGCCGAGTCAGGAATAAGAATGTGTATACCTACGCGCGAGCTCAATGGCCTACTGTTACGCTGCACCTGGAATGTGCAGTTTCTATTCAACGGGAAATACTATCGGCAGAAGGACGGCGTGGCCATGGGATCTCCTCTCGGACCACTATTATCGGATGTCTTTCTGGCAAAGCTGGAGAGAACCGAAATGCGGGCGGAGATAGACCTTTTTGACCGCTATCATCGATACATGGACGATATACTTGTTGTGATGGACAAACATATTAATCCGGAGGAAATTCTTGATCACTTCAACCGAGTTCATGCAGCATTGCAGTTTACTTACGAGAAGGAAAGCGATAATCGGCTACCATATCTCGATGTCTTGTTGACTAGGAGACCAGACGGATCCATCCAGCGTCAGGTCTACAGAAATACAACGTGGATAGGTCAGTACACGAACTTTTACACTTTCGTTCCCATGAGATACAAGCGCAACTTGGTTCACTGTCTTACGTCTAGAGCACGTCTAATCTGTACGGAAGACACCCTAGACGCGGAGTTAATGTTTATACAAAACACTACGTGAAAACGGTTATCCCGATAGATTTATCTTAAGGAACCTGCAAGAAAAATCCAAACCAGTGCCTGTGTTAACAGCACCCAAGAAAGAGTTGTTTATTCATTTGCCATTCAAAGGGGACGCGGCTACCGAGCGTCTAACCAGAAGCCTTTCGGCCGCGGTAAAGTCGACCTTTCCAGCAGCCCCGTTGAAGTGCGTGTTCTCAACCGAACCACTCATTCGTTCACAAAACAAGGACAAGCTGCCGATGCTGACCACATCAATGTTAATTTATCAGTTCCTGTGCGCCTGTGGCCCGACGTATATTGGTCGAACGGCGCGGCAGTTATCAAAACGCGTGAACGAACATTGCCCTCGTTGGCTGCGTCAAGGGGGCACCGGGACCATTAGTAGCGCCATTCTGGCCCACATTGTGGACACCGGCCATGAGGTGGATTGGAAACGCGCTTTCCGAATAGTTTACAAGGTTCCGCCGCACCGAACGAAAGGTTATCGCCTGCGTACGCTTGCGACAGCTGAAGCAATATGCATTCGATTGTTCCAGCCGTCCTTATGCTCACAGAAGAAGCTGGTCCAGGCTCTCCAGTTTCCCTGGCCAGCGAAGATGGAAGACGCCCAGGTCGATTGCCTTCGGTCAGACGCGGTAGCAAACAGCTAGCCCTCTAAGATCTAATCCGTTTTCTCCACTCTGACATTGACCTTCACGTGATCAAGTCATTTTGAACTAACTGGGTCGATTTCTCATTCTAGCCTTTATATGATTGTAATGGTCTGATGATGAATCATTGAAAGCAATTGCTCACCAGATGGTCTTTTGTTCTAGAGACTTCAATGGGAATTTTCAAGCTACTTAAATGTGGGATCCTTAGATGACTTAATCCCGGCCTTTGACTGGCGCAAGGAGCCACACTCATCTATTATCAAGCTTTCCGGGGTTGAGAATATGTATCAATAGATTATGTATCACTAGAGGACCAGCAGTTGTTGGATGCTTCACTACTTCTAAAGACTGGATATTCGAAGATGCATGGTCAACTCATCTGCTTAAGCAATGGTATCGGTGCTTGCGAGCGGATCGCAGTTGTATATGACAGCGAGAGCGATTCCTATTAATTTTGGACTTAAAGCGATGAGAATGGATCTTACACTGGCGTGATTGTCTGCCTACTTCCATTATCCGTTGAGCAACGCCTAGGAGCACACTGAATACCTTCGGGGCCACTCATCACTAAAAGGTCATTGTTTAAAAACCAGTCAAATTCACTTTTGTTTTCATCATAGGTTGGAGAGAAGGTGATTACTCTATTCTTTCAGAGCCTCTCCTTTGGAGAATAACAATTGAGTTGTTATTGTCCCAACTAGACTGCTGTAAAACACGGTGCGTTTCTGAAGATGGATAGATATTTTTGTCGCTCATCGGTTTGCATCCGACCACCACCAGACATCTTCTGGTGTTTAAATGTAGCCACGGACGATTACTCGTCGTCGCAAGAGTGTGATCCACCATGGGTCTCAACAGGATTGGTTGTCAATTGTTGTACTCGGTGATGCTTGAGGAGATGCCATTGACCACTGCAAATTTTGCGACATAGGATAAATTGTCGCAGCCTTACAGGTGCACAATCTTTATTGATCCTGAGTGTGCAGCAAACTTTAGTCCGTTATCTTCTGTTGTTGCAAGCGTGTGTGCTCCATCCACCTGCTTTCTTTCCTTCTAGCTGTTTCTAAACAGAACCAATACCGGTTTGCTTGGCGAAAAAGTCAAACTATCATCATCCGACCGAAGTTACCGACATTTCGGCTTATTGCAACATTTAAGGCCTACACAGATTGCGTTTGCTTCCGGTGTATGGATTATCCAAAAACTGTTTAGTTTTGACTCCTATATTTGCTAGTGTAAGTCTCGAGCTTGGCAACCACTTGTCATGCGGCTGAATGTGATTCTTATGGCCACTGGCTTGCGTCCTATTGCTCATCCCTACTTTACCTGGAATCCGCGTGACCAAGCCAGTGTTTGGCTCGTGACCTCATGAATACAACTCGAAACTGGCACCACTAAATCTTTTGTCGTTTTTACCTAGCTGGACTGGCTGCTTAGTGTTGCAAATTTTCGGAGCCCATTACCACCATCACTGACCCCCCGCAGTTGTTGGATGCGTGAAAAAGTAAAATATGACAACATACTTTCCTAATTATTCGTTACTGTTGTTATCCGATCTTCCGATTGCGATCGTCCTGATGTCATTTTCCTGTTGCTTTCTTAGCCATCCTGCCTAATTACATTTCATGCTTTCTCTCTTCAAGGCGAATGTCTTGCACTCGCGGTCAATGTTGGCGGATTGCAGAAAGCCGTTGGGTCAGTTACTTCTATTTTTGGAGTCAAGTAACCTTATCTGATTTATCATTTTTGCACGAATCTCTTCCCGGACCACTTTACATCTGTTATTCTTTCTGGTTTTTATATTGTTAAGGTATCCCGTCCACAAAGGTCATTCGGGTCCGTTTTCATGCCAACAGCCTCAGCCAAAGCAAGCAATAAAAAGAGGTTTCCGTTGAAGTCCATCACTGATAAGACTTTTGGTTTGAGCCAGCCAACGGGTGTGTACCGGTCTCTAGTAGTAGCACGGTACCTTTCCTGATCTATTTTTGTTGCTATCAGTCGAAAAGTGTATTTCCCGATACTAAATTGAAGTTTGGTCGAACCCTTTGTCCTCTGATTTGGGCAATGGTTGGATGGTTATTCGAATGGCTTTCTCAGTTACTCGTGTGCAAGCACAAGCATAACTTATTGCGATCTTTCATCACATTTAACTCTATGTGGTTCCGCCCAATTACTTTGACTTTTACAAGGGAGCTTGCCATATTTTCGAAAATGTACGTTTCTTCCATTGACCATTCTAATATTTCGGAATTAAAACGAAGCACGATGAGTGACCGTTTTATCTTTCCTCCGTTGTCAGAGCGAACATAATCGTATCCATGCGATCCCCGCGAATTTACCTGGTAACAACCAACCGGCACATGAGTTGAGATCCACCTGTCGTTATGATGTCAGTTTTAGGCACCATTAAGAGCAGACAATGTAGGTTTTGTTGGGACTGTCCCTTGACTGTATCCGAGCTGCAGTCATTGGGCGCATAATCGATCGCCAAAAGAGTACGCTTGTCCACTCGACGTCTACTAGCCTTCTAGGAATCACGACTGTAAAATTCCATTTAAGGAGGGCCGTTTCGGCTCTAGCAATCAGTGCGATCCCAACGCTCGTTTGTCCAAATTCGGTGGACTCGGTGTCGCCACAAACTCGGAGATGGAACATGTGTGTGTGGGTTGGGTAGTGACAACAACTGTTACTTTTGGAATCCTGAATTCGTGTTTCAGTCAGGCAGCAGATGTCATTTGCAATGGTTTTCAAACTAATGGAAACCACGGGATCATGTGGTGAGCAAGTGCTTTCAGTGGGTCATCCTCAGGCCATTAGAAACATATATAGGGCTACGAAAGAGTAAAATCGACCCAGTTAGCACAAGTAACATAGACGAAAAATCAAAACGGGTTAATTACACGTTGCGCAGTTTGACCTCAGTCAGTTGACCTCAGTATCCTCCTTCTTCGGGGCCAGCGTAGCTGAAGTGTCTGGGTTAGCTTCTTTTGCCAGCATAAGGACAATTGGAATAATCTAATGCAATTGGTCCGGTCGTCGCAAGTGTACTAAGGTGTTGACCTTTCGATCGCTGCGGTGGAGCCTTGTATACTACTCCAAAGGCACGGTTTAGATCCACCTGTCGACCATATGTGCCGTAATGGGGCTACTAATGTCCACAGTGCCACTTTGATGAAACCAGCATTGTCAGTGTCCATACACGCGTTTGGACAAGCGCTGTGCCGTTCGCCCGATATACCTTGCGCCACAGGCGCATTCGAACTGATAACCACAGTATGTTACCGAATATAGGCCCGTCCATAGATAAACCGATAGTACAACTTTGAAACGTCAAATTTGTCCAAAGTCATAAGTCCCCTAAAAAATCAGCAAAAGTGAAACGAAATTGTTTTTCCACGATTTCGAAGTCATCACTACCAGCTCTCACTTTAGTAAGTTTCACTTAAACGTGCTTTATTGTTGGTCAGTTGTGGTGACCGTAATGTGTTATAACCGCGGTTGATAGGTTAATGGGGCTTAGGTCCGTTAAAATACTTTCACCGCACCGGACAGTGTATTGACCAGAGGTCAAGTCACATGAAACAATTAAGACAGCCGACAATGCAAGGTAAGGTGACAAGGTGTCAGACAGGACGCTTCGCATAGTCAGGGGTCTCATGCAGTGAGTGAGAGCGAAATTCACGGTATGCGACGACGTTGTACATTTAAAGCAACGGATCGCCTGGCGCAACATAATGTTTAAGGGCTTTTTATTTGCTACTGCCATCCGTCGTGAACGTCAAATGTGCATTACACCGAGAACTTTCGATACAAAGTAACGTTACCCGTCTGGAATACCGTCCGTCACTAGCGGGAGGTTCTAAGGGAAGATAAGGACAGTGGTGGGCAGTGAATTCCTGGGCGGGTTTTGCATGTGACTTTAACAAATTCCGTATAGTCTTTCTATAGACCGAACCCCCCTCCACCGAAATGAAAAATTATCTGGAAATCATCGGTTTATATTCGGCAATATACGGTAATCATTCACGCTGTCGGCATGGGCAACCAGTTCTTGTTTCATCATCATCAATACACGTTAGTCGACGGTGAGAAAACCTCAGCTAGTGTGCCGCAATACCAAAAGATGAGACCAAAAAATTACACACGCGGGTTCGAATCCGCGTAGGGGTGGGAGTTCTCGCGGTGTACTCAGCCTGCATGCGGCTGGTTGTGGTCGCACGACAGCGAAGCGCCGTTAAGGCGCACATCTGACACATTATTTCATTATTTTTGTTACTCCCCTCGTCTTCCAACCGGTCTCCCGGTACGCAAATAGCGCGTCGCTGGAGTCGGTGTGCTGGCATGCACAACACGTGGCTGAGCCATCGGGGGTTAGTGCACAACACTAGGCTTTTTAGCTGACGATTAGGTGTACACATTTTTATTTCTGGCCGGGTTGTGCATATATATATACATATATATATATATATATATATATATATATATATATATGATTGGCCGTTCAGAGTAGGCCAACCATATGTGGTTGGCGGCATCCGGTTTCGGATTTGCCTGTCACTGTGGCCAGCCACAGGACGCCTGCGTCTACAGAGGAATCATGGATGGCTTGCGCTACAGCACCCACAGCTCCATCCACACACCCTTATACAGTGTAAACCCGAAGGAACAAGACCGGGAGGCATGTGGATAAGAGTCACGTTTCATCAACGGAGCCGGCCCACACTCCATCACAGACAAACACAAGTACACTGTAGTTGGGGAATCAAGCGCACACAAGGCGGTGGCTGGATCGTAGTCCGCTCCACACTGAGTGCATGGAACCACTCTTCGAGTCTGGCACGGCCACAAGGGCCGTGCACCCTGTCCCATCCAGCAACGATCAACTGTACCCTAGAGCCAGTATAGACGAGGTATTGGGTAATATACAGGTAGGCACCTTGTCAACATGCACATCAAGCGCAGCCACACCGGGGATATCAAGAAACAGCGAATCACTTGAAACGACAAGATGAAATAAAATAAATCGGATAATGCATTCAGATACGGACACAGCTTCACTTAATAGGCTTGTTAAAAAATTGATTGCGAACTAATCCGCGATAAGTTCATGAGGTCAGATAACATACTTTTAGGAAATGCCACAAACGCGCATATGTTATCGAAATTAACTACAACTAGCTTCAGCAACGTGTGCAAGTTTATAGTAAATAGTACAGATAGAGATTAATATGAGAAAGAAGAGTATTAGGCCAAAATTCAAAACTTACCACCTGAAATAGTGAGACTTAGAATTCAAGCACACGGTTAGTAGATCGAATGCAGCGTATCTACAAACGCTGCGCCGGTTCTGTCTGCGTTCTTTGCAGTACCCGTCGTCGCTTCGGTGCTCACTAGGCCTGCCTGACTCAGGCACTCGCGACTGCATGTTCTACAGCACCATGCGCTCGATGTCGGTGGAGTACAATCCATCGGCACTTGCCGGTTCCGCACTTGCCGCCTATTCTCTGCGTGCATGACGTCTTTCTCCCGCACTTTGGCAACTGCCTTCGTGATTAGATCGCGCAATGCACGGTGATCAACCGCCTTCGATTCCCATGACCTACAATCAACATTAGAACGTGAGAGGCTCACTTTAAACATGTCCTAGTAACGTAACTTTGGTTTCCCCACATGCCGCTTCCCAATACTCAGCTGACCGTATAAAAGTTTTTTCGGTATCCGCGTTGAATCCATACGGCTCACATTACCGAGCCGCCTCAGGTGTCTCAGTAAAGGTATACAGTCCACTGCATACATTCCACTTCGACGTAGCGCTTCCGTGTCCACAACTCTGTCACCCCATCCGATGCGCAGAATCCACCGCGAACACTGTTGATGGAACCGCTCGAGATACCGCACATCCCGCCGGTACATCGTTCACGTTTCACTGTCGTATAGAAAAACGGACAGCACCATGGATTTGTACATCATCAGCTTCGTGCCACTGGTAAGCTGATGGTTGTTCCACACTCGGTACTGAAGCTACCCGAATGCCGCCGCTGCCTTCGAGATGCGGATACGCAGGTTACTGTGTACATGCTGGTCAGTCGACATCACACTCCCAAGGTAGCTGAAGCGGGAGGTGGTTTCCAATGCATCTGCACCAATGCTGATTTGCGGCAATATTGAAGACTGCACCTCCGGTGAAGGCTGAAAGAGACACACAGTTTTGCTTGTGTTGCTGGTGAGCCCGAATTGGGCCGCTGTCGAAGCCAGAGCACTAGTCAGGTGCTGCATCTCGTCCGCACTGTGTCCAAACAACGCACAGTCATCAGCAAACAGCAACATGCGGATAGTTGTCTCACAGACTAGAGTTCTCGCAACGAAACGACGGATGTTCAGCAACCCACCATCAATATGGTGCTTCATACGAACACCGTAAGCACAAACCGCATCAAAAGCACAAGACAACATTGCATGAAGATAGATATTAAATAGGGCAGGAGCTAAGAAACAGCCTTGCTTCACACCAGAGACAACTGCAAAGTCATCCGAGGTCTCTCCACTCAGCTGCACCCTCGCTCGCATACCACTGTGCAGACATTCAATTAAACTTACAAACTTACGCGGGCAACCAAACTTACCCAACACCAGCCACAATGCCTCGCGGTTCACCGTATCAAATGCCTTGGTGAAATCAACAACAAGCTAGTACA